CACTAAGGCTGCAGGTCCATCATTGAACATTGGCCTCAGGTCGTCTTCTGGCAGGTAAACTTATGAACTACTTTATGTCTGAACATGTTGTTTATATTCGACCGCTCTTGTCTGGTGAGAGAAACTCAAATAACCTTGGGTATATACAGTATCTGGCAGGCTAGTTTTGCACTTTATTATTCATTGAATTTGCCCGTTATATATATTTCATGAAGTGTCATACAAAGAGAATATAATCACATTTGAGAAGTTGGAACAACAGAATATGTGGCTTTATTCCTCGAGTAATGACTATAAGGTAATATATAATCTCAATAGATGCAGTTTCAACGCACATTTACGTTATCTCAATTTCTTTGCCGTAAACCAAACCCCCCTTAAAAAAAAAGTTTCCCAAGTGGCTCACACTCTCTTAAGTAAGTCTACTCTTTTTCGGTGTCTTGGCAAGGTAACACTCAGAGCCCTCCTCTAATGCAATATGCCGTCATATGTGGGCAACCGTCTGCTCTCCGGGGAAAACTTCAAGACGAGTTCAGCTGCTAGAGACCGTCCTGCCCTGTGTGAGGATTCTGGTTCTTGAGCTGCTGTTCATTCAGGTGAGCTCAACTACTGTATATATGCTTTACTGTATATGGCTCCACCTGAAGCTCTGGCCCCTTCCCAATAGTAATATGACATATTTGGAGGGTGGCGGGACTCGCCTCAGTCAAATGAATGGAGGGGGAAAATAACTCTAAATAAATAATAATTAAAATTACATTTCGGCTTCCATCCCATTTTACAACTTTTAGGACCTAATAATGTAAATAAGGGTTATTCAAGTCTTCCTACTGGGTATAGATATATATGCTGTGAGAGATAAACGTCTCGTTCCCAGTGTAAGTCAATGGAAAAAGTATGGGACCAATGACGTCACAAACTGACACGGAAGCACCATTTGTCCAATGCAATTCCTGGGGGCTTGGTATAGATTTGTCCACAAGGCCCATTTGGCCTGTATAACACTTCTAATGAGCCCCACACCTCACTTGAGAATCCAAAGAGATTGAAGCGGCATGAGTGCAGAGTTAAAGGGGCTCACATCCCCCACCAGGATAAGGTGGTTATTCTTTGAACAGTATCAATAGATCATTCTCAAAAACAGTGAGAGGGCGATTATGTATGACATTGACAAATAACTGCACATGTATGCTGCATCGGTAATGTATGTGTTATGTATCATTTATATCTGCAAACTGAGCTTGAAAGATGATGCTGCCATGCAGAAGTAAACACAATATTAGGACCCATATTGTTACATTTTACCTATCACAAACACTTACATTTCAAATTATGCTTTCAAAATGAATGCAGCTCCCTAAAGTAGAACACTACATTGTTTTTGCAGCAGCAGAACATGTTGGTGTATTTGAAGATTGAACGGAGACTTTCATTAATTGACCTCAAACAACAATTTATTTTTTGCTAAAGTGGCCGGCAGAGTGGACAAACTTTGCAGCCGCAGTACAAATTAGATGCAACTTTATTGATCACTGTTGCTTAAGTGGGGTCACTGCAACAAAGAAAGGGCAGTACATCATAGAAAAAGAGCAGAAGATAGTAAATAATCAAAACTAAATTAAAAAGATAGTGTGTAACGAATAAAGCGTGAGTGTTTTCATCAGCATGAGGTAGAAGATATGGACAACACACAAAAAGCATGTGTAAAATCCACAGGGACATAGTGATGAGTCAGCATGTATAAGTGGCACAAGTAGGGATTAAAGCTTGGAAATGCAGGATGATCCTCACACTTCACAAGCTTACAGCACAGACATCTCTCTTCCTGCTGATAGGAAAATCAAAAGTTTCTTCCAAAGAACTTCCAGTCTCATTTTTATCCTCTCTTCTGAATAAAACTCAACTTACTGTATATTCTGTCATTTTCATGCGGGCTCCGAGGGATGGACAGCACTCTGAATCCAGTTTCTCACAATTACTCTTTCAGCTGCTTCTTAATTGAGTTTTTAGAAATTCTCTGCAGTCATGGCAGGGTGATAGGATGGTCCTTGGAGACTTTAGCCAGACTCCAAATGTGAAATTCATAGTCTGCCTTAACAAAGGTCAGATGGAAGTTTCAGTGTCAATTACCACCAAAAGTCACGGGGTCTCATGAGATTGACTCTGTTTTCTTAAACACAATACTCGGTATAATAAGACCAGTAGATCATTGCAATTAACCTTGGAGTAATCCTTATGAAGAATGTTAATGAACTGACTGTCTGTCAATTGTAATGAGGATGTAGAGCTTTCCACATCGACACATTGTAATTTCTTCACATCCGACTCATTAGGACAAGAATCGGGCTCTTTCACAAAAAACTCAATCCAGACTCTTCACCTTTGCCCTCTTTGTACGCTCTACATTACGGGTTCATCATACTGAAGACCAACTAATCAAAAGAAAGTGGAATATGAAACTCATTACACAGATAATGGGCATAGACCAGGGGTGTCCAAACTTACATACAGAAAAATATACGAAGGGCTGGGCCACTCACTAGAGGTATATTGCCTCATAAATTCAGTTATAAGTTAGCAAAATCAATCAAATGTATGTAAATGATGCTTGTGAGTGTTGGCAGCTCATCCCTTAAAACAGAAGCCTCAGATTGATTATAATAAGGAGAAATATGAAGGGTGTATTTCAAGCTTGTTATGTAAATAAGTCATTGGGCTTTTTTCTTATCAACTAAGATATGTTAGAAAATGTTTCCAACTTCAATTGACTGAATTTATTTGAAAAGCGGTCTTATTAACACATGAATACTACTGTGTAATATTTGTACATTTATATTTAAGAAGTACAATATAAGAAAAGCACAAGTTTCATTTGTGGGCCGTATTCCATTATACTTTTTGAATTTGCTGAGGGCTGATTCAAGATGGTCCGCGGGTCGCATTTGGCCCCACGGCCATAGTTTGGACACCCCTGGTAAAGAGCCTGACTTAAAGTACAGCCCTTCAGTCAAACAGATGTGAAGATATGGGTCCAATGTAGGGCTGAACGAATAATCGATTTTAAATCTAAATCACGATTTGAAATGATGCGATTATCAAATCGCAAAGCCTGCGCAAAAAAAAAGAATTACATTTTTTCTTGTGTGTCAGTCATCCACACCAATCAGAAGTGCTGTGCTCCACATGTACCAGTCATTGTTAACCAATCAGAAGTGGCCCATGATAGAAGGTGATAGACAGATTGATCCAATCACCTGCCAAGTATTTTTGAAAGTGCCTGCCCTTTCCAAATGGCTTGCAATGGAGCTTTCCTAGATGGTTTGGTGAAACAAACCATCTGAGTCAGGTTAGTAATGCTCCATCACATGTTTTACATCTATTACAGGGTGAATCTTAAACTGAAGCTTGACTTTAAAGCAACCCAATGGAAGTTTCATGTAAGTTTAGTTCTTTCACTCGTAGCTCGGGCTGCGGGGGGGCTAGAGACGGGAGCACGGAGATATTCCTAGCCGGAGATATGGCCGCATTTTACAATAAACTTCCGTTGGGTCGCTTAAAAACAAATATCGCAAATCTAATTGCAATCGCAATATCTGTCAGAAAAATCGCAATTCCATTATTTCCCCAAATCGTGCAGCCCTAGTCCAATGTGGGTGAGAAATAAATGTGAAGCATGGACGACTAGACAATAAACATGTAAGATCAGTGCTGCAGTTTCTGGTCTGTAAAGGTTATATTGCAAAGAACAAGGCAGTGAGACAGCGCTAAAATAATGACTTGTTCTTTCCGGGTGGCTATGGCTGTGAGATAGAGTAGTCATCCAATAATCGGAAGGTCAATGGTTTTATTCCCAACCCCCACATACAATATGTAAATGTTACCTTGGGCAAGATGGTTAACCCCAAATTGCTTACATTTTGAATGTAAGTCTCCCTGAGCAGTATTTCAGCCTCAACCTCTGTGTGGATGCGTGTGAATGCTGAATGTATATGTAAAAGCCTTTGAGGGGTTGTGCAGACTGGAAAAACGCAATATAAATGATACATAAGATCATAGGTTTCTATAGGATGACTGTGCAATTCAAAGCTAAAATAAGCCAATGGTTGACATTTGTTTAAATTGAAGAATCTTTTGGGCTTTAATTAATATGTATAGAGGTTTAAAAAGATATAGTGAATCAAAGTATTGTCGCGCAGAAGGTTAAAGGGTTAAACACAGAAGGTGTTGTCAGTAGTTGATTTAAAGAGGGAAGGTCACACATAATGAGAATCCAAATATCCATTTCCATCTGTCAGTATATAATGGCAGTTATAAAACGGACAAGTCAAATCAAGCAATCTGATTGGTTCTTAGCCGCGTCGGGCCGAACCACGCCCCTTAGCTGTGATATAATGAGCATATGCCACGGCCTGTCGTGAGCTATTGCTTAATTAGAATCCATACATTGATCCAATACACATTAATGCCAATGTGTTTTTCATAGTATTTATTGATTATTGGAAGAAAAGGTCTTTAGGGAAATATCAGAATCACTCATTTTCACCCTGAAGGGGAGTATCAGTTTCTGGTTTGAGTGACAGCAGCTCGTAGTCTTCTCCGGAGGGATTAGAGACATGTTGTGTCCATGTTTGTAAATCAGATAAGGATGGATTTTTTTGCAGGAACGCTAATGCGAGTTGTTGTTCTAGGCCGATGGCTGTTGTGTGCTTTCAATTTTCAAATGATAGAACAATGAGGCTTCTGCTTTGTGCAATATTTGATCAGCTTGTTAAGGTCTCAATCTTTGAGAGCAGAAAGAAAGAGGATGCCATCTTTGCACATGCACATTGTTTCTGAGCTTTTTACTCACAGGAAAGCAGGAGTAGTACAAATGATTGAAAGCGCTGACAGGAAAAGGGAAAAGGATGAGATATACTTGTAACGAAAGGTCATGCACCTACTGCAGTGGAGTTCGTTATAAACAAAAAAAGGTGTATTTTATATTTGTAGCAGCATCTTACCATTCACTTGAAGCGTGTGGATCTGAAAGAGTTGCTCGTAGCCATCAGCGTGACAGGTATAGTTCCCGATGTGGGTCGTGGTCGCCTTGGTGAAGTACAGTGATCCATCGTCCCCAAAGTCCTACCAAGAGACAGAAAGATAAACGTCTTAATGACTTACAGAGTGGTCTTTGTTCCCATAGTGCAGCAGTGAGCTTTGAAGGCATTGAAATCTGGAAATGAACGGTGTGCAGATGATGAGAAGGTAAACATGTTTCATAGCAAAGAAAATGAAAAACATTACAATAGTCCAAAAAGGCACATTGTGGAATAATGTTCATCAATCAAAAGGCATACGTTAAAGCTATGTGGTGCCATGTAAGACAAATGAGAACCGTTAAAGTCACAAAATTGTTTTCTGAAATGTGTCATTTTTTACAATCAGAGGACAGTGATCTAATGGAGGGACTGAGGTTATAATTGATTAGCATGGAAGTTACACAAGGTCAGCTGCTTATAGAAAACAGGGCAATTTAGTGCCGCAGACATACAGTAAATCAAAATAACTTATACTGCTCATTTTAAATGTCATTGTCCCCATTTTCATTAACATGTCTGACAAATACACAAAACATGTTTCACTTTGGTTCTCATGTGGCCTTTTTAAAGCAAATCAAAAGATGGTATTACACCAAAATCTATGATGTCCATGATGTGAACGTGTGCAGAGACAGGATTCATTCATGCTGTGATTTTGAAGTGAGTTAACACAAAGGAGAAGGTGCTGGACGCAGAAAGAGAGCAAAGTGGTGAATACATTCTTCAGAAGGAAGCTCCTAAAGCTAATGAGCCCACAGATGGTGTGCTGGTGAGATGAATCCGTCTGACAGAGAGCGAATGTGCGCCACCTTTTTAGGATCACACTGCAGTGAAAACCATCCTGGCAAATCATTGTAATTACTTTTGTACATGTTATAGTGTTATCTTGATATTATTCTCATGGGAAGTCATCAAGAAGGTGTTGATTGTTTCAGACAAAGAGTCCTCCTATTCTGTTTTATAAGAAGTAAACATGTGAAATGCTTACTTCTACCGAGAAACTTTAGAATAACATATATTTTTCAACTTCTAACTTAAAGTGGACCTATCATGCAATATTTGAATAACATAGTGTAGGACCATACCTATATAAGGCATATTTATACTTTTTTTTTTTCAAAATACCAAACAGATCATGCATTTTAGCCATGCCTCATTTTGCTCAATTTGACCATTTCTGGCTCTGTTTTAGCAAGGGCAGGTTCAGTGAGAACAGCACCATCTACAGGCCTGGCATATGTACTACAGCATCTCCAGCGCTTTCGAACGGCAATGTCCGTGGCTGTCTCCTCCTGATTGGTGGAGTTGGCCCAATAGCCGTAGCGCCACTGTCCTGACGTCAGGACAGTGTTCAAATCTGGATCAGTTCTTATCAGATCCGTTGCAGCCCCTTTTTTAGAGATTTGGGTATGGAGGAAAATAGAGAGGGTTGTGTTTTCTGACACTTGGTGAGTTCCCTGGAACACCGGGGACACATATTCATGTATAAAAGACGTACAAAAGTGCATTTTGCATGATAGGTCCCCTTTAAAACAAGTGGGTTAAAAGCAGCGTCCTAAATGACTCTAATACAGAGAATATGGGGAATACACCTTTTGCGACGTGTTTTGAGATAACTAAAGAACACAGCATTGGTCGTGATGACAATTTTGTTTTGTTTTAAGCAATGTACAATAAGATACTTCAAACCTTTGGATGAACTTAGTTTTCAGTGTAGGGTAGTATTGATTTTGTTCACTTTCCATGCATTTTTTGTATGTAGACTTCTCTTCCATGCTTGAGAGAGGCTTCATTTTATTTTCATTTAAGCCCAATTGCTTTAATTGTATCCCTGTGTATAGATGGATGTATTATATTGTTTTATATTATAATTATAATAGATTGCTGGTAAGTTTCTACAGGAGGAGAAGATTTTGCACAAAAATAGGGCAATTTAATAGGAAAATAGCTATCCCTGCCTTATGTGTGATCAATGTATGCTTTCACTCTTGAGTCACTGAGAAATAAAGGTTACTCACTTGTATACACACTAACTTACTTAAGAGTAACGGACCGTCCACACAGCAGCGTTAAAAAAATCTTGGAGGTGGGCGTATCTGAAGCTTGGGGATTTTTTGCGAGCAAGGCACCAACAACCAATCACATGAATCTCCCGCCCCCGACATACGAAGCAAAAAAGTTTGAAGTAAACTGGATATAAACTCCCCAAACAGGCGAAAACCTACCACTGTCTCTGCCACCTCCCTCCATGCCTGGCTCCTCCGGTTTATATCCCAGTAGGTAAATAGGGACTGGTCATAAAGCACCGGGTGATTCCCTACCGCTAATTTCTCCTCCATTTTTTGGAATATGAGGAAATGAACTGCGGTATGTCTCTCCCAGCATACACGCCGTTTGATTGGCTAGAGCTTGAACGGTCAGATTTGCGTACACGGGATTTGATTGGCTGACGCTTCCACCTCAGCTTCAAAAGTTGAACATTGCTCAACTTTGAATCCTGAAAATCCTGAAAATCTCCGCTCGCCTGCCCACAATGCAGTTCGGCGAAAAGTGAGGGAAAGTGACGTCACCCCATTCAAAGTGAATGGGCAGAAGCGTTTCAAGATTTTTTAACGCTGCTGTGTGGACGGTCCGTAAGACACTTAATTATTTTCCTTTTTCTAAAATGTTGTTTTACTCTTACATTGGCCTTGGTATGGTTATCACAATTCAATGTTACAGTAAACTCACTTAATACTCATAGCAGATAAAGCAATATTCAGATACAGAGTGTCCCTGCATTTCAAATACAGTATGTTCTTTCCTGACTATATCAAGTGATTATATTATAAATCTCCATGGACAAAACAATAACTGCCTGTGCTCACAACTATAGGTTTTCCCTACTTTTAAAAGCACGGCAGATATTCAAGAGTGATCTCGCTCCAGCACTCTGCCTTCATTAGTCTTCTTCAGTGCCCACTAACAAGATGAAGGCCAAGTGCAAAAACGTGTTCATTCCTGATCGCTGCCATGCATAGAAAATCATTCAGGTTTCCCTTAATGTGGTGACCCTTTGCTCTGAAGCATGACGGAGATTCTGCCCCGTGCTCCTCGTTGCTTATAACTGAAAACAGCTTTCTTATTAAAAAAGACTCAGGCCTAATTACCAGTCCTAAGTCAGGAGAGCTCATTAAAGAAAAACTGAATTTTCTCATTAAAGGGCATTGAACACTTTGATCACATCTTTGCTTTCTGTTTACATCTTGGCGTTCAGCTTGTTTTTAAATATCTGTAGACAGGTGTGGAGCCCTCCGTCGTGTTTACAGGAACATGGTGTGTTTATCAGTTCGTCCCGGTGTGCTGCGATCTAACCTGAGAGCTCGGTAACAGCTCGAGCCGAGTGAAGCATCAGAGCTTCACAATATGAGGGGAAATCGATGGTGCGTTTTGGCCCCTTGGGCTGAGAGCATATTGTGTCACCTTCTTAAATGAAAAATGAATGGGGGTAGAAATGAAACTCAGAGGGTGGAACGAGCCACGACGGGGGCTGTCGACATGATTCCTCCACCTCACCTCACCACCCGTGCTTTAGCTATATCAGCAGCACCCAGCTCTCTGCAGAGGGAGCAGGCCGGTGTAGGAGAAACTCAGAGGGAAGGGAGACAAGGGCAGGTAGAGGTGGATTTACAAATAGGCCATAGCCCTCAAGAAACTATAATTAATAAAGCTGTCAGTGCCGGGTCAACTGAAAGGACACTAAAGAGCCACCTTAGAGTGCAGCTACACTGACGAGGCATTTCAGAACATAGCCTCTGTAGAACGGCCTTTTGAAACTTTGTGACAGAAGTGGAGTGAAAATACCCTTCGCAGTGAGAGAAACATGTTTCCTTCAAAATAAAGTATACTGAGGTAACAAAGCATGACAGAGGGGTTTGACATTATAAGTCAGGTTTTCACAAACTACAATAGTCACTTTTTCTCACTGGTTTCTGGTGGTATTCAACCACACTCAGGTGCTAGCATTTCGCCTGCAACACAATATAATGGAGGAATGTAATGTGTGGTGCTCACAGCTTTAAAAAAAATTGCATTTAAAAAAAGATTCAGCAGCATATTTTTTCAGGAAATGATGTGTCCCATTACTCTGCCTGAATCATTCACAGCCCCCACTGTCACCCACACACATTGCAACTACTTGTACCAATGTAACAGTCCCAACAGAACGTGTCCACAGTGTTTACGTATTGCTCACAGTATTATGGATATATTTATGCTGTGAGCATCACAAACACAATTCTGTGTACATGAATGAGCCACACTATTGCACAGGATTACATGTTCCTCCACTGTTTGCCAAGCTGTTTAGGAAATGATTTGGTATCATTTGAACATTTCAGTCTTGAAGGAGATTGAATATGCTGCGTGCCACAGAGATCTGATTGGTGTTTTCCACAATACTTTTTGACAATAACTAAAATGCACGAATATCAAGCAGGCCTCGTCCTTCCTCTGTTAGGTTTAGCATGTTTTGGATGAACAGTATGCAGTCACTGTAGAACAATGAGATGTTCAATTGATGTGATGTACTCAGCTTGTTCATTTCTGATAACAGCATCATGCATCGGTTGTGTTTTTTGTGAATGGAAAATAAATTAAAGAGTGAAGCGATGTCAGTCGGCTGTGAAGAAAAACCAAATACACCCTACCTGGGACGGGGTCTGTTGGGGAGTAAAACAGAGGTCAAACGTTAGGAAGTTTAGTTCATTAAAAGCAGAAGAAATATAGATTTGAAAGCAGAAAGGTCACAGCAGTGTTGGTGTTGTGGTCAGGAATGGCATGATGTTAGAGGTGCATAGCTCAATGTAGATATAATGTCAGGATAATACAGTTTAGAAATAGTAAAGAATAAAACATGGTGGCCCTTATCAAGACCATATGCAGAAATGATGAAAATTATTTAATGGTACTTAAGTACATCCCCACAATTTAAAGATACAGTTATATTCACTGACACATAATTGCAGATAAAAACAAATATTCCAGAGGACAAGGTTAAACCGTGTTTATAGCTATTCCTGTTGAGGGAATAGTTTTTAAAATAAATGCCCTAACTTTTAATATTTCCATTTTAAGGACAGTGTCCAGAGATGGTGGTCCTTCACAAGAAGAAATAAATCAATAGAGGCACAACAAGTTGACTGACTTGTACAAATGATGACAACAAGTAGCCGCTTAAAACAAACTTTCCACAACATAAACTTTGGCAGAGTTGGATTTCCAATCTTTTACAAGAATTACAAAAATATCAAATGTATTTTGCATCTGCAGAATTATTTCCAGCACAGAATCAGGATCCCCAGGCCCACAATGGACACACACACACACACACACACACACACACACACACACACAATACACACACACACACACACAACACACACACACACACACACACACACACACACACACACACACACACACACACACACACACACACACACACACACACACACACACACACACACACACACACACACACACACACACACACCACACACACACACACACACACACACACACACACACACACACACACACACACCACACACACACACACACACACACACACACACACACACACACACACACACACCACTCAGGGAGGATTGAAATACTGACAGACTTGGATGATGATGCAACAGCGAGCAACTGTCAACTTCACGGAATTACGGTAAGCTGCTTTGTCAAAAATGTTGAGGCTCTATTGAACTCCAGGATACAAGCGCACCACTGGGATTAATGTGCGCATCACTAAGTCTGGATGTCCACAGCATTTTCAAAAATAACCACGTTTTTAAAATGGGAAGGTCTAGCAACATTAGACTGCATAAAGCTCCCATGTGTACTCACAGGAATATTACTCTAATTAAGGCTGGCAGTGGATGCTCACAAATATTAACAGCCTGCAATTATACAGAAAGTGTCTGCGAGGCAATTGAGAATTAGTCTGTGGATGCCAGGTGCGGGCGAAATCCACTCTCCTCTCTGGAAGGGACAACAATGATTGACTGGAAGTCTGAGAGCCAAAAATAAATCTGGATTAAGTCTGCGTGCAGCTAATGCTCCGTTGGTAATTTCTCTCTGTGCTGCGTGGCTTGCACACAGTTTCCTGACGAGCCACAGGAGACCCATGCTGATTCATGCTGGAGCCGTTTGGGGTTCTGGAGGTAATCTGTGCCCTAGCAGAGGTTGTAAACTCAGGCTTTGCTAGACACCAACAAAAAAAATGTAATCTGACAATGGCAGACCTCCAGGGTCAAAGTACAGCGCGTTCTCTCAGACTGAGGAGATGGATTAGTCCCTGTAGTCGTTTAACACAGCCTCACTCCATGAAAATGCACTGGCATGTACCCAGCATGCCCTCTTGCACCGCAGAGAGAGGGATGGTAATTTTATGCAACAACATTGAATCCAGGCAATATGAGGATCCTGAGGGTACCAAAGTGGTTCGGGGTTAATTAAAATGCAAAGTTAGTTGCATCCTTCTCTCTGCTCTGTCTCCATCTTTGATGTATAACTCGTGTTATGGGTTCATTGGAGAGAAATCACATTTGGATGTTTTCTCCAGGTTGTTCCAAACCACAAAAGGGCCAGCTTTGATTGATTACCAACACAGCATATTTTCTTTCCTCTAAATAAAAGGAGAGAAAAGTAAGCCTGTATGACTCCACAGAGAAAGTGTGAAAAAAAAGTGTTTTAATACCAAATTATTGTTCAAGGATGAATCGTCCTATTCAGGTCTATATGCTTTCACTAGTCCAAGTATAAATGAACTGAACACAACGTTTCTTTAGCTACAATAGATATTCTGAACAGCATTTGTCAGCAGAAGCTTTCATCCCTGAGCTGACATTTGAATTCAAATACACCCGAGCAAGATCTGATATGAGACACCAGGAAACTGATGACTGTGTGTGAAACAGACAAAGACCACCCTCTGAACTCTGCTTTGTGTTTTCAGGCAAAATCAAGAGATGAAACACAAGCTAGATTTATCGAATCTGTAAAAAAAAGAACTAAACAGTTGCTGAGGAGTGGAATAGCAAGATAGATCAAAGTGTGTGTTGACCTTACAAGACCTCACACCTGTCTTTTCCTCCTAGAAATCCTCCATAAGATATTGAGAGCGTTTTCATAAAATAATCAGACTTTTTTTCTTTTTCTTTTTTCTTACACCCAGCACTTGTATTCATCTTTTCTGAAAATACGTTGCCTGGAAGCAGTCATAATATATTATATAAATAAATGACTGAAAAATGGTAGGAAAGCTACCAGAAATGACTCAATGGCTTGGACGCCGCCCTTTTAAGGGAATCACACATCACCATCAACCAGAAGCACTGGTTTAGAGCCAGTTGATGGTGCCAAGGATGACTGGCGACAGCTGGGCGCCTCTTACTCATTTTAAGGGTCATCAACATTTAATGTTACATTAGTGGCTTCACTGGGTCTCCCTTTATCTACTGCGACAGTGTTGACTTAATTATGCACAGCAGTATCACACTCATCTTGGTCAGCAGTGACACAGAGAGCATAAAGGGGTGAGGGGAAGGAGAGGTCTGCCTTTTTCTGCACCTCTCCATGTTAAGTGCCCCTGCTCCGTTTGATGTGGATGAAAGTGACACACAGGGCTGTGCATGCAGATTAAAACAGAGAAAGACACACATAGTCTTTCACAGAGTTGTAGAAGTAGGTCCCTCCTCTAGGGCTGAAACCCTTTGGTACCCCCCCCCCCCCCCCCCCCCCCTTCGTCTGCTTTCATTTCTTGAAATCCCTGTCCCTCCGAGCCGTCTCTAAACACCAAGAACACAAACTGACATCCTGGATTACCGTCAGACCCACAATACACAAGCCCGGCGCCAACAGTCAAATAAAAAGTGGTGACAATCTGAGCCACTGCCAAAGGAATAAAGAAGAAATATGCTGAGAGAGAAATATAGGAAGATATCATCTGAAATGTACAGCTCTTGCTCTGTCGTTAAGAATTAATGATGCATCACAACATGAAAACACAATAATCAGACCTGTTCGCTGTATTTGTTCGAACCATTCCACTTTAAATTCCATTATGTATGTACCTTCATATATAATGTATCCGTGCATCCACGACACATTCACTTATCTACCCATGTATCTATCTATAAACAATACAATCAGGGGGCCTGATGCCGGCTCTTACATTGATGTCTGCCAGGTTCAGGGAGTTCAGATATTGATGGTTTCTCTTCCACAGTATGGGAGGCCTGCGCTCTCCTGTGATGGCACACGTCAATACGGCGCTCTGGCCGACTGTTACTGTGGTGACGCTCACTTTCTGATCATCGGGGAGGGTGAGCAGGTACACATCTGTTGAGAGGAGAAAAAGAACACAATGTCAGACAGTTCGGCTTAAGGACACGGACTCTAGGAAAAGTGAAAGTGAAAATGTAAGTTTACTGTAAAACTTTTAACACGAATTCGTAATATACTGTGTTCTGTTGCTTGAAACAGCTCATAATTCATAGAAATAAACCCACTGAGATGCTTTACAATGCATTCATTTACATGTTTCTCCTAATGAAGCCTGAAAACATGAATAAAGACCAAAACACTGTCTCAATTAGCTGCTGTTGTGCTGTACAGGCAGATGTGTTTTTAGTTAAAGATGCACTGAGCCAGCACACATATTGCAATTTGCAACGTAATGGGAAGGAATTCAGTTAAATGTTCTGCAAATAGTTTGCATAATTTATATAATAGTGCTATAGTGGAAGTTATACTTTCTTTATTGTGTCTCTCTGAGGGCCCTTGGTTCACCACCACACATAAACCTTATTTTGTAGCTAACAGTAAAGCAGAAGCACTATCTGGAGGCACTAATGCTGGTCTGAGGACTGCTGAAACCTCCTCAGTACGCCGCTTTGTATCTAAGTTGGAATAGTTTAAAACAAGCTAGGCTCTTCACATTGTTGTAAAAGCCCAGAAGTGAATTCTTTTTGATGAAAAGTAACATGCAGAAAAATGCCTGCACAGCAGAGAGGCTCTCCACAGAGACATAGCCCTAGACCTCGACCATTTCCAATTTGGAATTCCAGCAATACCTCAAAATAAATGTTTCTTGTAATGATGAGATGAGCTTTTGGATCTTTGGTTGATTTCTACTTATTACTGAGAGAAAACATTGCCACAAATAAAATCCAGGGTTGGTTAGTTAGAGGTTAGCGCGGCTATGGCTGCCTTTTGTGTGTTTTGATGAGACTACAGTGTACACTTCTGTGGTATTATGCAACGCTGCCTGTGTGAGAAAATGCCTTTTAATCTTTCTCTTGGGTAATGAGCAAAAGGAAACAGAGACTCAATTTGCTCTGCTCCTGAGGGCATGAAATACAAAACCTAATGAAAGGGCCGGTCCAGTGTTAGCTCGCCACAGCCCGGAGAATCTGGATGAGATCACCTTTAATTACAGCGTAACCCTGGTGGGCCGGTACCGACGGCTTCTGAATGCTTCTTTAACCTTCTCACTCATTTCTGATGCTTGGTCCTCTTGTTGTGTGAACAGGCCTGATAGATCCAGACCAATCACTCTGAGCCGTGAGACAACTCATATTCTTTTCAGCGAGAGCTCCAAGTTCAGTCTTTTAATCCCTCATTTGGCCCGATGAAACCCTGCTTAAACCCTGGCAAATCACTGCCAGGATTACATCAAAATTAGAGGATTAATAACAGCCGTTTCTTCGGAGTGGAGTACAACTCGAAATTTGGATGACTATACTGTTAGTGGAGAGTTGATCCAACTCTATAGTTTGTCTTGATGTTGAGTTGCTTAAAATAAATCCAGGAGTTTAACTGTTTGTTTTGATTTGATTACATAAACTGGTGGATTAAAACCAAACATCCAAATAATCCTGATGAAAATCTGATTTAACACGAGTGACTGGACCCTACACTCTTCCATAAGTGGGTCAAAAAGGTATTAGAATAATATGTGTTTTTATGCCATCTTTGTCATTTTGGTTAAGAAAAATCACTTGTATAATATTTAGTATTATATTTTGGTTCACACTAGAAATATTTTATATTTAATTTTTCACTATTTATAATTTTAGACATTTTTTTTACATTTACATTTTTGACGCACTTATGGAAGCATGGGGTAGTAATACAACAACTAACATTTCTTAAAATGTAAATTTAAAATGTGAATGGCATGATATCCAAAACATATTTTTTGAGGAATAGCTGGAATATGAAATGATAAAAAAATGTAATTACAAAGATACTTCAAGAAAACCACCTCACCGGGTCAAAAAAGACCCACTATTTACAGCACACATAATGCTAGAAAAGTATGGATTGTAATCAGCAGCTCAATCACAGTTTTGTTTTATATTCGCATGTTCCATGTCTCTCAGTTTTATGATTACACCTTAATATAATAAATAATACTGTATTCTGTGATAATTGGTGTCATCCTGCAGGCACTATAATCAAGGTGTTAACTGCTTTAGCAAACGCTGTTACTTTTAAATTACATTGTGTATTTATTTGCATAAATATATATTTAGGTAATACCTTTTTTTTGTGAATACCCAGAAGGCCAAATAACAGGAACAACTTCATAAAATTAAAGAAAGCAGCAACAGCTTTGCGGACCAAAACACCTTGCAATGTAATGCAACAACCCATAATTATGACCTCAAGAAGCGAACAGTGTTGCTCCTGCGACAGATTTGACAGAAGTTGAACATCATCATCTCCATGAAGTCAGTGTATATTGCCGAGCTATTGCATCAGATTGTGTCATATGTTACAAGTGTTCATGTTGCTATGCCCACTGCCATTTACACATTGAAATATCAAATAGCTTTGAATTAATTTTATACTCCTTTTTAGCTTGAGTGATGCACCTTTTTTGTTTAGAATAATCAAATGAAATTTCAAAATGTAATTCCGCACAACAAGTAATCTTAAAGGTCCCATGTCATGCTTTTCTGGTTATTACCCGTCCCCTTGTGTGTTATGAAGGTTTTTCTTCATGTAAACGGTCTGCAGAGTCAAAAACCCTCAAAGTACACCTTGTAGCGAGTAAAACTCTAACACAGAAAGACCTGTCTATGCTGCCCCAGAACGCCTCGTTGGGGATTTCTCTTTTCCATTGTTTGCTTCCTGGGTTCTGTGACGTGTGAACACTCAAATCAACAACAAATGACCGGATTGGCCCAAATGGACCAATCCGCGGAGCACCTCACACACCAGGATCCCTTGGCTAACTAACAGGGAGTCCCCATTGACTTGCATAGAGCTCCCTGAACGCTGGTAATAGACGAGTTGGGATCGCGGAGAAATGCTCTCCGCAGACCCATTCTCACAGCGTTATAAACCTTTTTCTTACTCAATATCAAGCCACGCTTATTGTTTTTACTTCGGCTGTGAGTGTTTGTGTGTGCTCAGGATGAGTTTCGCTTGTTCTCGCTGTATCGCCGACCCGGAAACCTGTCCGCTCCTCGCAGCAGCGAGCCTCGCAACGTCCCGATCAATCAGAGCACACTGGGCTCACAGGGAGGGGGGGGGGCAGGAACTCCAACAAGCCGTTTAGGACAGAGAGTGAATACCTGGTGAATACACATACTTTACAGAGATGCTGTATGAGAAACCAATGTGAGTTTGGAAAATTGCACAATTTAAATCTATTCTAGTATACCTCAACAAGGGAAATATGATCAGTAGAAATGGCCATGACATGGGACCTTTAACAAACCGGTTAGCAGGTTCAAATATTCAGTAATGAGCCAATCAGTCTTTCTTTTTTTACCGAAAAGCAAACACGAGCCCATTCCTTTAAATGTCTCTTTCATTGATTGATGATAAAAAATGTCTTGTGATGGCCTGCACTGAGGGAAATTCCTCTTGTCATGAACATAACCCGTCACTGGTATTGATGTATGAAAGGGGGGGGGGGGGGGGGTTTAAATGGTACATGAAAAGAAATAACCAACTTCATAAAGCGACTGAAACATTTCCCCGGGGGACCTCAGAATGTGACAGAGATCATTTGATGGAGCGTGTTTGATCGGTTAAGAGCTGTTTGTATCTAATAAAGAATTGACAACGGCAGACATCAGGGGCGACGTGAGAGCCAGCATGGACAGAGAGAACATGAATGACTGGAAGGAAGTGAAAAATGATGAAAGACTTCAAGTTTCTGCTTTAACAGGGCATCACTAAACCTACTTTTTTTCAAGTGAGGCTATAGCGGGGCAACTATAATTCAGTTCATGTTGAGCAACCCTTTTCAAAGACGTGTTTACATCGATTGTTTCAGGGTCTAAAGATATGCTACTGCACATAGCTGTGGTTTGATCACATTGACCCTTAAGGCCTCAACAACCTGAGTCTGCAGCAGAGAACGACAACACATCGCCCTCTTTGCTGCAAGGAGTGAACAAATCAAGCCCAAACTGTCTAACTGAGGTGAGTAAGTGCTCCTTGCAGAAGGGCGCTGAACTAAACAACATCAGACCTTTGGATTCTTTCGTCTCACATCACAGGCTCACTGAGAGGGCAAACATATTGTTTATCATCACAACTTCTAAAGAACTGTTAGGTTATACTTTCTGTAGCTGTGGCTAACAGGTCTGTGTTTCAGATAACATTGGACAGTAAAGGTTGTGATATTGGACAATGGCAACAAACAAGTTGTTCAATTTCCTTTACAAGCAAAATGTTTTGCCAGATGAGTTACTTATTGTTAATAAATGTAAAACCAAATGTAAACGCACATGTAATGTTGCTAATGACTCATCATTGCCCAAGAACAGCTGCGGTAAGTAAGGCAGGTTGAAATGTAACCAACAAGTCTGACTTATCAGACTTGTTAATTTATCAGAATCATACAAATTCAACTATATAGAATAAACATATTGGTATAAAGATAAGAAGTCAAAGTAAAAATGTATACATAATGGATGTATAAAGGATTGTGGGTAATCATTTCACTGGTGATTCCATTTCAGTTTCTCATCTTGTCACGATGGTGGAAGTCAAATAATTGAAACCAATCAAGATGTCAAGCAAACAAAAACCTAAGCTGACCAAACAAGTCAATAAATGGCAGAATGAGGAAAACAGCACAGCAGGGGAAGCAAAACACATTAAATCAACTCTAATGCAGAAAGTGAAGAATTAAGGGAAATGGATCTTCCATCAGTCACACATGGCTAATCCATGGTCCTCCTCCTCCCCTGACACTGATCACACCACAGCCAGCCCATCAACACGCCATGCAGCCACTTGGCGCTCTTCGTGAGGGGGTGATGGTGGTGGGTGGATACGCTGACAAAAATCTCCCTCAATAACGTCCTAACCAT